CATCTGAAGGGTTGCTTAGGGCTGGAGGATCTTTTCTTTTTAAAAAGATTTCTTATTGACTTCAGAGAGAAAGGAAAAGGGAGAGAGAAACACCCATGACAAGAGCGAATCATTGTTCGGCTGCCTCCTGCATGCTCCCCACTGGGGACAGAGGCCGCAACCCAGGCATGTGTCCTAACTGGAATAGAATCTTGACCTTCTGGTTCATAGGTTGATGCTCAACCACTGAGCCACACTGGCCGGGCTGAAGGATCTTTTTCATTTGTATACCAGGCAAACTAGCACTAGCTGTTTTCAGGAGGTCTCAGTTCCTTATCATGTTGGCCTCTCTGTAGAAGTGAATGTTCCCTGGCATGGCAGCTGGCCTCCCCCAGAAAGAGCGATCAAGAGAGAGCAAGGAGAAAGCCTTTTATGAACTCATATGTCACACATCATCACTTTTACCACTTTCTGTTTATTAAAAGCAAATCATTTAATTCAACCCGCATTCAAGGGGAGGAAAATGGTACTTCATATTTTTTAAGGGAGTTTTGCTTTCTTCTTCTTCTTCTTTTTTTCCTGATATATCTAAGGACAATCAGTATGATTAGACAGAATAGTGTCTGGATAATTTATACCAAGCTGAGTCTGGCAGAGCCCTTGTAACCGGCTGGAACCTATTTTTTCTTATGTTTCCGAGGGCAATTGGCAGTTCTTTCAAAGCGTCTTGAGGTCATTGTTGGTTCAGACCTGTGATACTTTGAGTCCTCCCCATTTAAGATAAACCCCTTTGCCGAAGCCGGTTTGGCTCAGTGGTAGAGCGTCGGTCTGCGGACTGAAAGGTCCCGGGTTCGATTCTGGTCAGGGGCATGTACATTGGTTGCAGGCACATCCCCGGTAGGGGGTGTGCAAGAGGCAGCTGGTTGATGTTTCTCTCTCATCGACGTTTCTAGCTCTCTATCTCTCTCCCTTCCTCTCTGTAAAAAATCAATAATATATATATATATATATATATATATATATATATATATATATATATAAACCCCTTTGAGTTTGCTGACTCCTCTGACATCCAACCAGTCAGCAAGTCCTGGTGGCTCTACCTTCAAAATGTATCCAGTCTCTTACTCATTCTCCTCAGCCCCCAGGCACCACATAGTCCAGCTCACCCCAACCTCTCATCAAAGCTTCCTTTTTTGACCCCTTTTAATACTACATTGAGCACCCAGAGTGATCTTTTTAAAAACATAAATAAAATCACTCTATTTTCCTTTTTTAAAACCTTGCAATAAATTTCCTCAAAACAAACAAACAAACCAAAACAAAACCAAACAATTTACTCTACAACTTCATCTCCTGGATCACTCCTCAAGAGTTTTGCCCCTTTTAGCTAACCCAAATTATTTTGACCTTGGGGTCTTTGCACTAGCTCTTTCCTCTGCCTCAAATGCTCTTTGTATGCTTTTTCTCTTCTTTTAGTCAGGTCCTATTTAAATGTTGCCTCTTTAGATAGACCTTTCTGAGAGGCCTACCAGAAAGTGTGGGGAAGCACAGGACTTGATTGGAAAGTCTGTAAGGAGGAATCTCTGAAAGGTCAGTGGCCTCTATGGGGATCTTGCTAAAGGCCTTGACTTTTCCAAACAAGTATGAGCCCCTAGGGTGTTTTACTGGGATCTCTATGTTTAGACTTCAAACTATCCTTACTTAAAGAACACTTTTTTCAAGGATACTTACCTTGCTGATAGTCTCTAGAGGTTAATTTTACTTCAAGTTTTTGCTATAATAAAACCTAAGGAGGCAGGGCTGTTTGGTTACTATAGCCAAGCAGTCCCTTAGCCCTCTCTTTCACCAAAACATGTGTCAGAGTAATCGTTCATCCATGGCTTAGAGTCTGCAGGTCAACCCTGGCAAGAAAGCATCTCAAATCCTGCCATATTTCCTTAATATGATGACACCCCCTGTATTATCATCTTTAATATTTATGTTTTTTGTCTGCCTCCTTTACTGGACTGTAAACTCCATAAAAACATGGAGTTTGCCTTGTTCACTGATATGATATGCACCCTGTCCTCAGAATGGTGCCTGGCACACAGTTATGAATCAATTGGTTAATCCAGAAATCACCAGATAGAGGCTAGTTGAACCCACAGATATATTTTGTTAATACAATATTATCTTACTGTTTTTAAAAAAAATATTGTTTAGCTGACAACTTTTATAGACTATGGAATTTCATATAAAAACTAGAGGCCTGTGCACAAATTTGTGCACCAGTGGGGTCCCTCAGCCTGACCTGTGACATCCTCTCTGACATCCCCTGAGGGGTCCCAGATTTCGAGAGGGCACAGGCTAGGCTGAGGGACCCCACTGGCACGCAATTGGGCACAGGGAGGGACGTGAGAGGTTGGTCAGCCAGGGAGGGACCACAGGAGTTCTCCACAGATGTCCAGCCTGTCTTGTTCAGTCTTGATTAGCTAAACCCCAGCAGCAAGCTAACCTACCACTAGTCAGAGTGTCTATTTCCTGGTGGTCAGTGCATATCATAGAGAGCGTTGAGCAGCCTTAGCATATCATTAGCATATTATGCTTTGATTGGTTGAATAAATGACTGGACACTTAGCATATTTGGCTTTTATTTTATAGGATTCCCAGTTGGGGCTAAAAACTAAGAGGTTTGCCGAAACCGGTTTGGCTCAGTGGTAGAGCGTCGGTCTGCGGACTGAAAGGGTTCTAGGTTCGATTCTAGTCAAGGGCATGTACGTTGGTTGTGGGCACATCCCCAGTAGGGGGTGTGCAAGAGGCAGCTGATCGATGATTCTCTCTCATTGATGTTTCTATCTCTCTATCCCTCTCTCCTCCTCTCTGTAAAAAATCAATAAAATATATATTAAAAAAAAAAAACCTAAAAGGTTTGTTTTTTGTTGTTTTTTTATATTTAGAGTTCTTTGGCAAAAATCATGTCATGTTTACTAGCAGCTGCTCCTTTTAGACAGGATTTACCACAGAACCTACCACTCTCTATTATATTTCTGACACCAATGACCTTACCTCTGGTTCCCTTCACTCCTCTGTATTACCTACCTGGCCCTGCAGGCTTTTAGGACCCTAGAATAAGCATATTTGTGATAAGTTTTCCAATATTTGTCCTATAAAGCACTCCAGTTTTTCATGTAAAACTTATAAATGAAATTGGTCCCATGTTGGATTTCCAACTCATATTCATACTGAGTCACATATTTGGTGCCATTCTGGGTATAGAAAAATTACTCAGCTTAATAAACTTTATAAAGAACTCCCCTAATAAAAGAAAGGAGAGACTCAATTGTGTTTCAAAATAGTTTTTACTTTTAGAAGGCTATTTTTTAAAACATTAAAAAAGAAAACATAGATTTCAAATACTTTCCTTTATTTTCAAAACCTCGTGTGCATTCGATCCAGATGTTTACCTACAGTGATTCATTTACCAGTGTGGGGCACACCCAGTTGTCCTAAAAAAGAAAATAACTGATTTTTGAACGAAACTGATTTAACTCAGTGGATAGTGTTGGCCTGCGGACTGAAAGGTCCCAGGTTCAATTCCGGTCAAGGACATGTGCCTTGGTTGTGAGCATATCCCCAGTAGGGGGTGTGCAAGAGGCAGCTGATCAATGTTTCTCTCTCATCGATGTTTCTAACTCTCTATCTCTCTCTCCCTCTCTGTAAAAAAATCAATAAAAGTATATTTTAAAAAAGAAAATAACTAAGTTTAACAATAGATGGTTACAAAGTCTGAAGTCAGATTGAGAATGTATATATATTTATATATATATATATAGAGATAGATAGATAGATAGATAGATAGATAGATAGATAGATAGATATAATCAATAACTATGTCTTTTTCCTCATTGTATAACCAGTGCCTATGTATATATTTAGGGGCTTGAATATATAGTAAGTATCTCTTATGTGTCAGGAATTGGATTTAGCAGTTGCAGAACCCATATTATGTCAAATTTTTATAAGTGCCAGACAGTAAAAACTAAACAAAACAAACAAGTAAATATTATAGAATAAGTAATAGAAGTTGATAAGTACTATAGATAAGAAAGAAAGTGGAGTAGGGTGAGGAAGAAGGAGATGCCTGACTGGTTACTGTTGTTAATAGTATGGTCAGGGTAGGTCATGTTGAAAAGATGAGATTTGAGCAAAACCAAAAGGAGCAATGGAGTTTTCCCTGTGGATCTGTGGGGAAAGAGACTTTCAGGATAAGGAAAGATCTAGAGTAAAGTCCAAAGGCAGCAGCATGCCTACTCAGGCTGTTACTATGCAGTCAAGTAATTGACTAAGGTAAAGAATACATTAGTCAATTATTAGGTAAATTGACCAATAGGAGAACTGTGTTCTCCTTAACTAAGGAACATTTATCACCTATTTTTAATTAAATCACTTTGATTTGACCATGACCTAAGCATTGGGGTAATCCATAACAGTGTAAGAGACATTCTTAGAACTTTAGCTTCACAATTGTAAGGTGAGCTGGTCCCTGTTAGCCTCTCAGTGGAAATCCTGATCTTAAGCTACTATAGATGTCTAACAAACTCTTGTGAAATGGATGCATTTTCTTTTATTTTTTTCCAATATGTCTTTATTGATTTTAGAGAGAGAGGAAGGGGGAAGGAAATAGATAGAAACTAAAGAGAAAGAAACCGATTGGCTGCTTCCTGCATGCCCTCTTCTGAGGATGCAACCTGGGCATGTGTCCTGACCAGGAAACCAACTGGTGACCTCCTGGTGCATGGGACGCCAAACCAACTGAGCCATACTGGCCAGGCTAGCTGCATATTCATTATTCCCAGCACACTCTCTTGTTTCATATATCAAACATTGGTGCTTTTCAAACGAGTAGTCCACAAGGAAAAGAATAAGAATTGAAATTTGTTATCTTACTCTGCATGTTAAGTACTCTCTGCTACATAATGCAGTTCAAAGGGTGCCTCATGAAAATCTCCCTAATAGAGCTTCATATCTCCCCCGTATAGCTACTCGCAAGGGGCTGGCCCTTCGGAGTTGAGGTGTGCAAGCTGGTGCCTTTCATACAGAAGGCCTCCGTGGGGATCACTGTGCTGAGTCTGTGTGCTCTGAGCATTGACAGGTAAGGGCATATATTTAAGTCAGGTATATCCTGAGCACTCTGTAGTAACTGCTATGTTACTTAGAAAATAGCTATGGAATTCATGAAAACCAGGCTCTGCCTGATGGACAAACACTTTTATTTTGCTCTTCAGATATCGAGCCGTTGCATCTTGGAGTCGAATTAAAGGAATTGGGGTTCCAAAATGGACAGCAGTAGAAATTGTTTTAATTTGGGTGGTCTCTGTAGTTCTGGCTATCCCTGAAGCTGTGGGTTTTGATATGATTTCCACTGACTACAAAGGAAGTCCTCTGCGAGTCTGCATGCTTCATCCCGTTCAGAAAACAGCCTTCATGCAGGTACACTTTCCTCTCCCCTCACCCCTTTCTGTTCTCACCTTATAAATATTTAGCTATTTTCCCCCTGATTTCTCCTCCTTGGAAGTTATTGATTTGTGACTGTCCTTGGCATAAATTAAGAGTGCTGGCCCCAGGACTGCAGGGTTAACAATGACTAATGACCCAAGCTGCAAGAAGCTGGGTGCCTATTTCTCCAAGAATCCCCTGGCATTCATAGATACAGGTTCACATGAGAAAATCAATCTGAATTTATAGCTTTTCTACTAAAATCCCCACAAGGACCAGCAAGTACTACTTTTTTTAATTTTTTTATTTTATTTATTTATTTATTTTTATGCATAAGACAGCACAGCAGTCCTCAGAGGGAGTAAATAGTTCAGTGATTGATCAAGTAGAAGTTGCCCTGGTATAGATAGATTCTGAATGGCAAGCCTGTCTCCTCTAAAGGGAAAGATATAATTGCAAAGAAGCTTTCATCTTGGCCATTTATTCAAGAATATTTAATCAGGTGATAGGAAAAGGATGGTAATGCTGGTCACCAGAAGATAGGTCCTAAGAGTAAAAAGCTCTTCCCAACAGAATGAGTGAAGAAGAGTTTATGCAAAGGGGGCTTATCTAAGGATCATCAATGGTTATTTTCCATTTCGTATCTGAGAAAGCCATATAAAACTTTATGAATTCTATATATTATGGTAATCAAAAGATTAAAGAATTAATGTAAAATTGGGAATGAAATTGCTATCTTCTTGTTTCTTATTAGTAAAAAGGGGGGAAAGTACTGCATTGATTGTATAAGTTCTGCTCCCACACAGAAATATCTGGAGTGATAATTTTTAAAAAGAACAGAAAAAAGAGAGAGAGAGAAAGGGTCACTTTGATTTTTTTTAATTGATTGGTTAGATTTACACATTACAGAGCTAAATGATTAGCATAGGTCTTTTTTTTTTTATCTGTTTTTCCCATGAAATAAATGTGTTAAAATGTAAAAATTTTCCTTAAATACTATAATATTTTTACATACTCAGATGTTGTATTTCATACAAAGAATAGCTTAAGGAAAACTAGTTTGTTTCCTAGAAGACAAAAGTATCTGAATTACCAAATATTTTAAATTTAACTGATTAAAGTTTAAAACATATGTATAGCCCATTGCTTTTGAGAACTGAAATGCCTTTTAGGAAAAGTCTGTTTTATTTAATATCAGTGTTTAATTATTTGTGACCAAAGAGTCTACATAGTGTTTATAAAATAGATCTACAGTACTTTAGTAAATAATTATTACATGATGATTTTTTTTTAAATTTGAGATTTGCTATATAGAAGATTCTTACAGAGAATATTAATCAAAATCCTCTCTTCCCACAAACTCAGATAGAGAGCAGGCAGACAGCTCTTGTAGGAGGGTTATTGGGGGTTGGAGATATTGAGAAAAACTGATGGACATGGACAACAGTGTGGTAATGGGGAGGAAGGAGGGCTATTGGAGGTAAAAGAGGGTTTGGGAGGATAAATGGTGATGGAGAAAATAAAATAAAATAAGAAATTCTCTTTTCCCCCTAGTTTTACCAGACAGCTAAAGATTGGTGGCTATTTAGTTTCTATTTCTGCTTGCCATTGGCCATCACTGCACTTTTTTATACCCTGATGACGTGTGAAATGTTGAGAAAGAAGAGTGGCATGCAAATTGCTTTGAACGATCACTTAAAGCAGGTAAGAAAGTAGAACTATTTCTAACTCATGATTATAATTATGATTATGGTTATAAATAACAAAGGTATTATGATGATAAATTAAAATTATTATATACTAGAGTATAACTCCTTTTTTCTTGCTCAGGTATTTTTTTTTTTTACATTATCTATCTAGATATAGTCTGTGTAATCTAAAGAATCTAGATAGAGCTATTACTTTTTAAATATGAATCTCTAGTTATTTTAGTTTTAATTCATATTAATTATTCAATTTAAAGCTCAGTGCGCTAAATTTTTGCAAATGCTACTGACCTCTGTATACAATATTAAATATTTGGTTTGGGAAAGGAGAACACTATGATTACAATGAGCCATCTTCTATGGGTTTGATTATGTTTTTATTTCAGAGACGGGAAGTGGCCAAAACAGTATTTTGCCTGGTCCTTGTCTTTGCCCTGTGTTGGCTTCCCCTTCACCTCAGCAGGATTTTGAAGCTCACTCTTTATGATCCGAATGATCCCAATAGATGTGAACTTTTAAGGTAAGAAAAGTAAAATATAGTTTTCTAAATAAATGCCACACAGAAGTGTTCATTGAACCTTTTCATAGGCAGAAAGAGAAAGTAGTATTTTTCTGATCCTTAGGGAGCAATTGAGATTCCCATTTTTTACATCCACTTCATTTTAAAGGAAAGAGTAAAGAAGACTTAAGAGAACACTGGGAACAGAAAGCCAGAATTATCCACATAAGTGTGTGGCATGCTTGGAAATATCCAGCCTGATTCTCCTTTGCACATTATAAAACTTCCCTTTTCAGCCAGTCCCAGCACTTCTAAATACAATTTTGTTTTAAAGGGGATAATTGGCACAGTATGAGGGAGGGTGTGTGGGATGACAGAAACAGAGAATAAGAAAGAGAGACAGAGGGACAGAGAAGTCACTATCAGCATAAAGTCAAAACCATTGTGTATACGGGTAATTTTTTTTCTTCATAAAAACACGTAAGTCTGTAAAGAGTATGTGCTCAGAGCAGCGTATTTTTCACAGACACGTTTTGGGTTATTTTTGCAGCTTTTTGTTGGTATTGGACTACATCGGCATCAACACAGCCTCCCTGAATTCCTGCATTAATCCAATAGCTCTGTATTTGGTGAGCAAAAGATTCAAAAACTGCTTTAAGGTAAGAGAGTATTCCAAAATAAAAAGGTCTTCTTAATCTGGCTTCAAATGTATATCTTTTAATCTATTAATATTTCTATTCAGGGAGCTCTGGTAAATTTACAGTTTTCCCTTGTCATTAGACTATGGATGATTTTTTAAAATATGACTCTTGCTTACATATCACTATAGTTGATTTCTGCCTAGTCAACCACTCCTTATTGCTTCAGCCAATCAGTTGTACTTACAATTGCTTATAAAATTAATAAAAATTACATGCGTTGATGTCTAGTAGACATCATGTGATGAATAAGAGCTAAGCATGAATTAAATGCACTGATCTCACTTGGAGTAGGTTTTGAACTGACTGTGCAGCACAATTTGGAGTATAACTACATCGGGGGTTTTTCACACGGACATGGGAAGAGCAAACCAAACAAAGAAATTCAATTCAGGTTCCATCTCTTCTTTTCTAATTTCTTAGCAGAGATGTGCTGCTTGATGTGGAATATGTTTAGTTATTCCTCATCTAGCTGCTTGCATTGTCACATTCATATGTCCATCCATTCACTCTTTTAACAATCTAGCACAGAAGAAAGTATTTCCTCCCCTTCAATGGGAATGATCCATTTGTCCCTGGTAGTTCATTATTGGAAACTCAAGAACTTAGATTTCTTGTAAACTCTAAGGCAGTCTAGAAAAGTCCTTGCCCACTCATAAACTCATAGATTTTAAGGTAGGAGATAATGTACATTAAGATCAATTTCCTCATTTTATAGAACAGGAAACAATGGACCTTCCATTTCCTTATACATATAGATTCTCAGAAAACAAAAATAAGAAACAAAGTTTTGAATCTTTAAAAATCCAGGAAAAAATAGATTAATAAAACTGAGGCACTTACTCACTTTATAGTGTATCATGTAACAGTATTGAATAGGCACATGAGAACAGCATGTGGATGAAAACACTGGCAATGTTTTATTAACTTCATTGATATGGAAAGATGTCTATGACACTATCAAGTGAGAAAAAGCCAACTGTGAACAGTACATATAGTACAATTTTATTAAAATTAATTATGCACATAATTCCACACACATGCTCATGTACAGTCATGTATATACTGAGTGACGAGATTATTATGATCTCTGAATTCATTTTGGGCCCGGTTCATAAATACGTGCATGGGTGAGGTCAGACCAGCCTGGCCAGGGGGAAGGGACATAGGCCGTTGGCCTGCCTGCCTGCTGGTCGAATTCCTGGGTGAAGGGACAATTTGCATATTAGCCTTTTATTATATAGAATATACACTGAGTGGCCAGATTATTATGTGTTCAGAGATATATGTGTATGTATATGTATATGGTGATATTTCTGCTTGCATAAGAATAAGTCTTGTTTTATATATTTATAAAAAATTAAGAGTATTTCTCAAGTAGTCAAGAGTAAATATCAAGAATTAAAAGAGTGACTTTCTTTTTTATGTTAATTAAAAGGTGGGAAATTTAATTTTATACATTTTTTCTTCTTTGTATCTTCTAGCTTAAAATAATTATCATATGCTACTTATGTAATTGTATGTTTTAATATATATTTTTATTGACTTCAGAGAGGAAGGGAGAGAGAGAAATATCAGTGATGAGAATCATTAATTGGCTGTCTCACTCGGGATTGAGCCCACAACCTGGGCATGTTCCCTGACCAGGAATGGAACTATGACCTCCTGGTTCATAGGTGATGCTCAGTCATGCCTACTGGGCTAATTATATATTTTAAGTGAAAAAAATAAGAGAGGATGGAATGAAAGTGGTCCAAGAATTCCCAATCATGCAAAGAAAGTCAGACCCCTAGGGAGAAGGAAGAGTCGAGACAGTATAACTAATGTAAATATATAATGAGTGACTTTGTTTTGTGCAGTCATGCTTATGTTGCTGGTGCCAGTCATTTGAAGAAAAGCAGTCTCTGGAAGAAAAGCAGTCGTGCTTAAAATCCAAAGCCAATGACCACGGATATGACAACTTCCGTTCCAGTAATAAATACAGCTCATCTTGAAGGAAAGAATCATCACTTAAGTTCACGTTCCTCACTTTGGACAGAAGTGATTAACACAATGAGGCATTTGCCAAATCAAAACAAACTCTGTGTTTGCACACAAAAATGTAAAAACTTAAGAGTGATTATTTTCTTAACACTCACAGTTACACATGACATTCTAAAGCTGTTTACAGTCTAAAAAGAAAAGCAGTGAGAATGAAAAAAGCTTCATTGTGAAAGCTCTTAATTTTTTTACAGTCAGCACTTCAATGTAGCTCTTAATAACTCTCAGTATATTCATACATTACTTACATTTAAATTCAGCTCAATCAGAATCTCTATTAGAGAGATTTATTTTTAAATTAATGTAAATCTGATATAAAAATGTCACTGTAAAACAGAATTTTTAAGTGAAATTTAAATAAATTCATTAAAAATTTTAATAACTCTATTTTAAAAACTCTTATTAATAGTGTCATACTATTGGTTGGACTATTATTGGATACAAAATGTATAAGCAGTTTAGCTGGTGCATTTTTTTTTTTTACATTGGGAACATTTAAATGATCAGAAGAAAGTATTAGAGAGACACATGTTTTTGAGAGTCATCTAACTTTTTTACATTCAGGTGAGATCAAATATGACAAACAGAAAGAGAGAGAAAGTTGAGAATGCTATCCCAAAAGGCTACTTTAAAATCTCTCACTTAAGAACTCTGCAAAGAAAATGCTACCTACAACTTTTTCAGGATTCTCAAAACATTCTTCTTTTAATATTACTATTGTAGTTTCAAGACTACTTGTTTATTTTTCTCATCAGTAAATACTTTGCTACAATACACAATGTGTAGATGATTAAACTAAGGGCTGGTCCCAGGTCCCTATCCTTACAATGGAGGGATGCTAGTAACCCTAGAGAGGACAGAATGTGACTTGCCTGGAGCAGTGTTCACATGGCAATGGAGAAGGCAGCATCCTCTCACACTGCTGTAGATAAAATGGTCTCTGGCTTATGCATGGTAGGGGGGTTAGAATAATATGTTTTAAGATCACACAAATTAGGCAATTTAACAGCTTATTACTAATTTTTATGTTATTTTTGTAAATAACTAATAGGAAAAAAAATCTTGATGTGGTGCTTTTCTGTCATGGGCAAAACTGTCTTTTTGAGACAAAATGTCTTACCTTGTGCATTCTTGCTTAATTCTTTCATCTCTGTAGCAAAATGCCTTATATTAACTTGGGATGGGATGTGTATGAAAGCACAAGAGAAAATGAAAGAGAGAGGAAATGAGGTGGGGGTGGGATGTAACCCCTGGGGACAGAGTCCCATTCTTAGCCTGACTTTCGTCACTACCCGGTCACATGAATGCAAAAGGTCCTGATTCAGTTCCAGGGAAACACAGTGCAATGTTCTCAGAGTGACTTCAAGAACAAATTGGGCCCAAGAGCTTTAACTCATTCTTAAAATATAACAGAGTTTCCACTTTATTTTCTTTTGGTAATCCAGGTCACATGTTGGAAATAAACTAGCCATGTTGCTTTCTCCCAGCATCTAATGGATGCTATAGCAAACCAAATCCCAACGATGTAGCCCCAAAGAAAGGACAATAATTAATTCACATGCCACCTGAATTCTATTTACAAATCCCTCACGGTCTTTATTTAAATTAATTTCTTCCCAATCATTGTTTCCATTGACTGTTATCATAAAAGACATTTCAAACTTTGAATTTTAAGCAAAATAAAAAAAAATAGACTAATATTTTCACAGTTTGTTAATATATTTTTATTTAAGTTTTAGTTCATTTTTATTATCATAAACTGAGTTTTGGTTTTTTTCTCCTCATTTACACCCTTAATAGTCTTTCTTCATGTCAGAATCGTGGTCTGTAAGCATTTTGCCAGATTTTAAAATTTCACACAGAGTATATAAAGACACTATTTTTCATGAAATTGTTTTCTCCAGCTTTTCTAAAAATGTTTGGTTCAAAATGTGAACATGGTTTCTTGGCATAATTAAGATCAAGATAGGAAAAGTTACCACTGTTTAGCCTTAAGACATATTTCCTAGTATTAATTGTATAATATAGCAACAGACAAAAATAGTGTTAACATGGGCATTAAAATATTTATAAGCAATTTTAGCCTATTCTCTCCTTTATACATTACTAATAAGGGTGCATGTTCAAACACCTTTTAGTATTGACAGCTTATATATGGCCAAAGGATTATAGTTTGTAGCAAAGCATGAATATGCTGTGACTAACTTTAGAAAATTGTAATCATCATGTAAAATAATTATATATTTGTTTTTCTGTAGTCACTTAAAGTGACAACTACTATAATCATGGATTACTTATTATGAAAACAAAATTAATAAAAAGTTTAATTGTTTTTAAAAAGACCAGCTTGTTTTTCATTGTACAGGCAATAATTTATTAAATGCTAATTGAATAAGTGTTTAAAGGAAATACCAATATTATAAGTAGACAATATTTATGTCAAACATACTATTATCAAAGAAATATGAAAGTTTTTAAATTAAAATGTCAAATTCCAGGTTTTTATTCTCTGTGTTGCTATATTTCATTGTTTCGAGTAACCAGATATACATACAGACATTTAGTTCTCCAAGGCTGATTACCTGGCTGATAGTTTTCAATGGCTTTTTATGTCAGTCTTTTTCTGGTGGCCTGCTTCTGAAGCATGTCACTGGCTAATCAGTATTGTACCACACGTCAAAGGTGAAAGGTTGAAATGAGATTTGGGGGTTACTCATTTTATTTCACAAGCTTCTTTTGAGTCTTCACTCTGTTCAAGGTAGGATGAAATTAATAAAATGCAAGAGACAAAGGATACCAAAAGCTAACACAAGCAAAATGAAGTGCGAACCACATAACTGAATACTGACTACTCTTGAAGATCACTTCTATGTCTTGCCGCACATACCCCTTTCTTCACCTGCCAAACATAATCAAGAATTAGTATTAACTTTTTTCCCCAGGTAATTGTGTTAAACTCAAAAGTTTCTGTGATTTATCCCTGACCTTTGCTAGATTTCAGCTGCCTAATTTCAGCCGGCACTTGGAGATAATGTGTTCTGAATTCCAGAGGCTCCTTGAGAAGTATGGGAAAGGAAAGCATAGGTGGTGTTCTCTTTAAGTAATCACCAAAAAGTTGATGTCAACTAACAATCAGAATGATGCCCATACAATTTATTACAGTAAATGAAGCAGAATAACTGTAATGTAGATTCTTGGAAGAAAATTAAGTATGGCAGCCCTAATATGGAAATGTCTAGTAATCCAAATAACGCAGAGACTAAGCTTGTGAAGAGCAATGGCTCTGGACTTCTTGCTGTCCGTTATTGGTCAGCCTTAGAAATGATAACATTAAATAGCAGATCCAATAAGTATACCCAGACTGGAAAATCCTGCTGGACACTTCCAAGATTCATGGCTTACTTGAGCACAGGGAATAAGGCCTCTTACTAGGAAGAGAGTATTTTGAATAGAGAAAACTTGCTAAGTAAAAGACATACAATATCCTTGATTGTTTTGGCAATGTGGTTGAGCTCAAGTCAGTTAATATCTCACAGCCTCAGTTTAATTATCTATAAAATATAAACAGTAATATCCACAGCTTCATTCTTCTATCAAATCAACAAATGTTAAGTTGAATTACTATATTATTTAGTGTACTCTCTAAAATATACAAAAATGCAGAAATAATAGTCTCTGCTCTCCAGAAACTCACAATCTAATAGGAGAGATACATACATATGCACGTACATACATACATATGTAAGAGCAGTTAATGTTATAGACACTGGTACTTGGTAAGAAGTTTAGGAAAACTCATCAGAAGAAATGGTGCTTGAGTTGAGTCTTAAAAGAAGTTTACTAAGTAAACAAAAAAGCTAATGGCATTGCTAGCAAAATGACTATCTTTTGGAATACTGAAGGGTGCAATAGCCTGGCCAGTTCAGGAAAAAAATTAAATCCCAGAATGCTCTTGGGGGACCTTATGTTCCATGCATGGGGATTCCCTTTCTAATAGCCCATGTTTCTCAAATGTCTGAGGACTACATGCCACAGAATCATCTGGGATGTCTGTTTAGAATGCAGATTTGTGGACTTTAACTCTGGTTTATATCATCAGAACCTCCAAGGTGGGGACCAGAAATATTTGATTTAACCAAGACTTCAAGGGGCTCTTATGTACCTAGAATTGGGGAAGCCCTATAGTGTAGCTATTTGCACAGTACTGAGTATATTAAACAAAGAATAACATAATAAATAGTTTTTTAGAAGATGGCTTTGGAAGCAACAGGGGCAGGAATTAGAGGGCTACAACACAAAAAGCAGTGAAACTGGATAAACAGCTACTGCAGCTGACAGATAAAGAGATGAGGGCCTGAGAGGAAAGTGTGTGGGACGGTGCAAACAGGTCAGGTCATGGGGAAAGACACAGTCATCTTCACATATTGACCAGATAAAGATAAAGCTCAAATAAGAGTTTTCTGGCTAAAATGACCAGTAACCTAGAACAGAGATCAGTCAGTCAACTATGGCCCAAGGGCCAAATCCTGCCTTATAGCTTGATTTTGTAAGTAAAGTTTTATTAGAATACAGTCACACCCATTTGTTAGGACAGCACAATTGAGTGATTGTAACAAAAAATGAATAGCCCACAAGGCCTAAAATATTTACTATCTGGCCTTTATAGAGTAAACATTGCCAACCCCTGACTTATAAACAATATTAAGGGAAAAGAGGCAGCAATTAAATTGGAGGAGAAAAAAAAGTTCTGGGATGTAATGAATTCTACTATGAATGAATTCTACTTTGGATATGTGTGTAAGGTGCCATGGGGCATCTACAGAAAAATTTAGATCCATCTCAACTATACACAAAAAAAAATTGTTTATTTTGGCTTAGAAATGCTGAAGAGGATGAATAGAGATACTCAAGGAGAAGCAGGAAAAAAGTAGGAAAAAAAGGAAAGAAGGGATGG